AGTCTTTCTCATTTTCTTTTCTACTTGGTTTCCCATAGGAGGGCTGACAATTTCACTGCACATCACCAGTAAGGGAGGTAGAGGAGCTGTGTCCTTGGCCACTGAAATGGGCCACATCCTGCTATGTTGCAGAATCATAACTATTTATCGATGAAGTAAGAGAAATCAGCATACACTGTATGCTATTAGGTGTGGCACACAAGAAGGCTGACATCCTCACAGGGAACTAGGGTAACTCATCCACATGGGGTACAAAACATGCCAGAAAAATCACATTTAAACTACAGCCAAAGCCCAGGATGGCAGTGAGGAGCTTCAGAGCTTGAAGAGGGGAAGATTCTCTCCATCTGTCACCCTGACGACAGAAAGGGGGCACACTCAAGCCATTCCACTACCATTCACTTGCAAGGAACATGATTTATGAAGTCTGCAAGTACAGGGCACAAGGGGAGGGTAGTAATCAGGAGACCGTCTCCACCCTAATGTAGAGGAATGTGACAACGAACTGCAGCAATCCACAGGGTTGTGGCCTAGGGCATTGTCTCCAATGTTCTTTTCTTGCTGTAAAGGAAAGGGAGAAGGAAGTTCTGCATTGCCCAGGAAAAGCATGATGATGAAAGCTAGTGGTAGAGCAAGGTCAGTCTCATCACAGGGTTTAAATATCCCAGCTGCTTCCAATTGCATCAACCTGACATTTAGCAAAGAAATTTGTGAGGCCAAGAACCAAACATTTGCAAACCATTAAGCTGTCTCTTCAGTGTCAGACACGGCTTCCTTCATCTTTACCTAACTTCAAAACTTTTGTTTTTCAAGACTGTAATTAAAGAACAACTGAGTGGGGAGGTAATTCTTCCAGCAGGCAAAGTCCCCTTGCTACTTTATATGATGTAATAAGTCTGCCACAGCTGAGTCCACACCTCAGCTGAACTTACCCATGATTGCATTTTTGCTATGCTGCTATGAAGTGGTACATGCAACTTAGTGGAGAGCAAATTGTCATGTCAAGACCACATGAAATCCTGTCATAACAAGCCTATAAAGGCTTAATTACTATGACAAAACAATGTCTGGGTGAATGCAAGGAGACAGCATTGTGGTATCAAATGTAAAAGGCATTGGGACATTTTAAGTTTACATCTATTCAAAGGCAGAGTCAGACAACATGTTTGGGATCCAGATAACACCACAGGATGCAACCAGGAAGCAGCAGGGAATCCGAGGAAGTGTAGAAGGCTACAGTAGAGACATGATTCTTACGCCTGGTCTATATACTACCCAGTTTTGTCAACAAAAGTCAACTTTTATCACCAAAATAGTGGAGGTTTGTACATTGTCATGCTCCTCCCGTTGATGTAACTTTCCTGCTACACGGACTTGATAAAACCACCTCAATGAGCTGCTGGGAACTTGTGATGACACAAGTCTGTTGATGCTAAGAGGTGGTTTGTTATGGACTTAAGCAGTTGGAGGCATGGAGCAGCAAGAAAAAAATCAATTTTAGTCTGAAATCTAGTCTGAAACTCTCTGCCACTTTTCCTGATCATTTCCCAAGTTTGTTTTGTTGTTGTTGCTGAATACAGGCCACCCTCACTATAAGCCCAAGATAAGTTCCAAAAAATGTGGACTTATAGCGAAACAACTTAAAGCAGGGAATTTTTTGTCCCACATCTGACTTCCATTTGCTCAAATTGTTGATTTTTTTTTTTTGCGTGACTTAAGAGCAGGGACTGGGAGGACTTATAACACATCAGTTCCTACAAGCATCAATGACTTTATGCTGAATGGCTGTATACCGGGGCGACTTATAGCGGGGATGCCCGGTACAGTTTTTCTCAATTTATCAGCAGACAGAGAGGATTTCTTCACAGTGAATATCAACCTTCCCTAACTAAATCAATAATCAACATTGTTCTATTTAATCTCATCTTCCGACTCCAGTGATAGTTCCAGTTGAATTAAATATGACCAGTTACCCAGAGTTTTAAATTAATGGGAAGGCAATTAAGACTGGTTATTGACTTTGATCTCTAGAGCTCAGTTAAAATAGACTGAACTGTTTCTTCCATCATCTGCGTGCATGAGAACTTGATGTATAATATATTGGCAGTGTATGCAATGTTGCATCCCTTAGATTAATGCCGAACTTTTCTATTGAAGTAGAAAGGTCTTCACTAAAGGCAATTCATATTGGAAACTCTTTACATAGGGGGAAAAGAAACCCTGATCCCTTAAAAAAAACCACATTTTTTCTACTTTTCCTATTTTGCAGCCTGTAACTCAGGCTAGAGTTGCTGAACAATGCAAAACACAGGCAATCTACTAATGACTTTAAAATAAATCTTGGTTCCATGGCCTAGAAGACCTGCAAATGTGGGTCAATGCAATTTCTCAAACTAGTGCACATATGTGTTTATGGACAGGAGAATTCTGGTGAGGTAATTGCTTTTCCATTTGCAAGGGCACAGTAATATGACCAATATGTTTTATTCTTGCTGCTCAGTTTTGGTGTTTTAAAAGAGTCATTTCATTTAATGCAAAAAGATCTACTGCTCTGTAGGCAAATAAGTCTGAAAGCACCTGTTAAATGCACCATCCATTGCCCACATTGACTTTCAATGCAAATAAACAGCTGGGAGAAAATGTTCAATAAAAGGGGGGGGGGGATTCAGTGAGAAATGCAGATACTGGATGATTGAAATATTTCATAAATGTATATAGATTTTGGTGAACTGTTTTGCTTTTAAAACCCCTAACTTGTTTAAGAGTAAAAACATTTTGTTTCGACATTTTTAAAACTAAACATTTTGACGTTTTTGTTTTGAAATGACCTTGAATTTTAAAAGAAAATAAAAAGCTCTAAATAGAAACCAAATATTTAGTCCAACCAAAAACTGGTTGACCCAAAACTATTTTTTTTTCAATTTTTCAGAATTGCCAGTGAACTGAAAAGTCCACTAGTCACACAGCTCTATTTGGGTATTTATTTAATTTATTTTTATTTTTTAACCTGAAGAAAGTTCACCATCCTCTCCACACAAACTGATGTCAACAACACATTTGCCAGTGTGTTGCCTGGTTACCTAACTTTCTTAGGTCCCACTGAAGTTCCTTACAGTCTTCTAATCACAACAGGCAATTACAGTCTTGACTAACCCTAAAGCGTTTTATGTCATTTGCAAATTTTGCCACTTAAGTTCACTGAATGCACCTTTTTCAATAGCTTTAAATGAACATATTAAATCACACCATTTCTACTCTAGTCATGATGAAAACTGACCGTTCATTCCTATGCTTTCATTTACATCACTTAGACAGTTTCTAAACCTTTCTGAATAGCTTCTTTGAGGTGCAAAACACTCTTTTGCACCTCCAAATAAATTATACCAACTGTTTCCCTTTAGATACTATTTTGCTAACTCTCAATTTTTTTCTTAATTAAAGGGGTGATTTTCCCTAACACAAGTTCTGCTGTTTTGTCCCTATCATATCATATGGGTTCTACAATTCTGTTTCTAATAAAAGTTTCAGTTTGCTTGTATTAAAAAGGTTCACTAGCTTGTAATAATCACAATTAAATCTAACACTTTTAAAAAAATAGATACCAAATTTTTATTCTCCAGCACAAAAGTTAATATGAAATAACTTTGTGAGAGCTAAGGGTGGTTAGCACCTCTCACAAGAATGCTTAGTACCTTGCAGGATAAAGCTCTATGATTTCTACTGGACCACTGATGTGCAATTCATAATACATATAACACTGGGGACAGATAAATTGGGCACTGGAATGTTTTAGATTCATGAGAAATGCTCCAGTGAAATCAACTCATATTGACTGATACTTTTGGTCAAGATATTCAGTCTTATTTTCTCAGAAATGACCATCAGTTCTGTGCAGATAATGCCCAAAGCTAAAACTGTTAGTTCAGTCCGGCTATGTCTACACTGTAGTTATTTTTTGGAAAAAGGTAAGCAAATTGTGATTCTTTTTTTGGAAGAGGCTTTTCAGACATTTGATCCATCTACACAGAGCCAAATGTGGGAAAAGCCTCCTCTTTTGGAAAAGCCCTTATTCCTCATAAAATGAGGAATACAGGGATTCTGAAAGATTGCGCCTGCTTTTTTGGAAACTGATCCGAAAAAGTGGATGCATTCCCTGGACATGGAAGAGTTTTTCTGGGATACCATTGGCATTGCAGAAAAACTCTGTAATGTAGATAGACATAGCCTCTCTAGTGTTCTGTCTTACATTTATCTCCTTACTTTGAGTCCAGACATATTCTGCTAACCTTATTCATAGCAGTATCTTAGTCCCCAAGAACTCCTACTGAAAAAATGGGATGCCTCACAGGATAAGATGCTACTCAGTGTAAGTAAGCATGGAACCATGTGGCCCTCTGTCAGTTATACTGTTGGCTACAGTATAACTTTCTACTAAGACTCAAGACTATCTGAGTAAAAATTTATTTGTCCATGTCTCTGACTTTCTCTCTCTTTTATTCAGATTTAAAATCCTCTACCATAAAGCAGAGAGTGAGTTTTTATCTAATCCTTTATTTTGATTTTTTTCTACGAGTAAAAAAGCCTAGGCCTAGGACTGTGAGTTACCTTGACCTTGTCTTTATTTATTTTTTTATTTCATGCATTTTTTTCCCATCGCAACTACTGTAATTCCCTCTTGGATACTTTCTTAAATCTGCAGGATTTTTGCTATGTCTTCAAATTCACAATTACAAGAATGCTGTGGCCTGACTGCTCTTGTCTTCAAGAAAGTGGGACAATGTAAGTGTCATTTCCTGTCTTTTTATTCACTTCCTGTCTGTCCCTGTGTTCCATTCAGAACTGTCTGCTTGATTTTTACAGTTCTTAATGGGCTTGAAATACCTGAGACTTTTTATAAACTGCCAACATATTCTGCTTCTCCAGTTTCAGCCTTTGCTCTCCACTACTGGGGATTATTCTTTGCTGTCAAGACACTGAGCTCCCAACTGTATTTTAAATAGAATACTAAAATCTTACTCTTCTCCATAGATCACGACTTCCTTGTAAAATGTTTCATATAGTTGTAGAATACAGCTGTAACAATGACGGTCAAGGTCATCCAAGGGAGGCCCAGGGGCTGGGGCAAACTCCTCCCTCCGGTCCAAACCCCGCTCTCCACTTCGCCTTTTCCTGCCCCTGCCTCTGTCCTATCCCATGCTTTCCCCCAAGCCTTGCCCATGCTCTACTCTGCCCCATTCCCACTCTACCCTTCCCCCAAACCCCGTCTCTGCTCTGCCTCTGCCCCACCCCCCTGCACCTTTCCTCAAACCTCACCCCACTTCTTCCCATCCCTGGTTCACCCTCTCCCACCCCCATTGCACCCCAGGAGCGGCTCGAGGAGAGCTGCAGGCAACTGGCACCCTAGGCGGAATGCGCGATTCGCACCCCTGCCTCCATAGCCCTCAATGGTGTGACATCATCATTGGGCACCGCGTTAAACACGGCACCCTAGGCAACTGCCGAGGTTGCCTACATCCATGGGCCGCCCCTGTTGCACCCCTTACCGAATCCCTCTCCCCTCAAGCTACATGACCTGGGGAATTACCGGGGGAGGGGGGAAAGAGACCTAGCAGGGGGCAGCAGCAATGGTTGGGCCCCCCTGCACTCACCACAGCAGCATGAGCCATGGGAAGTAGAGGGACCAAGCTGCCTGCTCCACCTCACCACCATCTTCCAGCCAGGTTACTCTGCTTCACTGAGGCAGTGGAAAGTGGAGCGACCTGCTCACTTCACTCCACTCCACACCCTTGAGCCCACATCACTTGGGGGAGTGGAAATGAGTGGGCGGCGCTGGGGTCAGGGTGTTCCACTTCCTGCCACCACGGTGAAGTGAAGCAACCAGGCTGGGAGATGGGTGGTGGAGCGGAACAGGCCGCTGTGTTACTCTGCTTCCCATAGCTCAGCCTGCCACTGTGGATTAGAGTGTGTGTGTGGGGGTGGGGGGGTGGGCATGGGGAGGAGAGCACAACTCCTGCTGCTACATCAGTCCCTGAAGTAATCCCCCAGGCTACCTTGCCAGCCCTGCCCTCCCCCCACTGACATCAACATGGAGGACCATCCTGTCCATAGGATCACTGGGGCAGCCGCCACACAGGACCCCAAAGTATGGGACCCCAAACCTTCCAATGGGCAGATTGACTCTGACTATAGTTAAGGCTGCACTATGGACCTAACGTAAATCCTACTGATGTCAATAGGAGTCTTTCCATTTACTTCACTGGATTTTGGATTAGGTCTGACAACAGCACTCTACCCTTTTTGGATAACCTATGTTGGTGAGAGGGATGGGCTTTTGTGCTGCACAGCAGGGGTTTTCATGGGTCATGGCTTGTAAGGGCAAGCCGCTAGCTGGCCATGAGATGCTTTATTTACCTGCACCTCCACCCGCATGGGTGATCACAGCTCCCACTGGCTGTGGATCGCCATTCTTGGTCAATGGAAACTGCAAGAATCAGTGTGTCCGGGTCTACACTGCTTCCTGCAGCTCCCATTGGCCGGGAGTGGTGCTCTGCAGCTAGTGGGAGCTGAGATCACCTATATCTGTGGTGGTGCAGGTAAACAAAGCATCTCACCACCAGCTAGTGCCTTGTCCTTACAAGCCATGGCCCAGAATTTGAAAACCCCTGCTGTGCAGATTTCTTCTTTGGAGCTCGAAAGTCTCTTTTTCTGACAGAAGTAATCCATAAAAATATATTACCTCACCCACTTTGTCTCTCCAACATCTTGGGACCATTACAGATGCAACTGCTCTGGCAAATAGCCACCTGTACTGGGAAGGGAGAGGGGAGTATCTCCTTTATAACAAGTATTTTGAAAAAAATGTATATATAAACTATTTTGAGACAACATTAAGATTTGTATAGTGAAGTTCCCAAAACCAGATTTCTCCAGATATAGTCCATGATTAGAACCCTGTAAATCCATAGGCTATGTCTACACTGCAGAGTGTTTCTGGGATACCAGCGGTATCCCAGAAAAGCTCTGCCATGTCCAAGGAACACTTCCACTTTTTCGGAACAGTTTCCAAAAAAGCAGACACATTCTTTCAGCATCCCTGTATTCCTCATTATATGAGGAATAAAGGATGTTCCAAAAGAGGAGGTTTTTCCAAAATTTGGCCCCATGTAGATGGTCCAAATTTCAGAAAAGCATCTTCTGAACAAAAAAGCAGAAAAAGATATGCAAATTGTGGTGCACAATTTGCATATCTTTTTCCGATAGAACTCTGCAGTCTAGACATAGACACAGATATCCGCTTTATATCTGCAGAAATCCACATCCGTGGGTACGGTTGCAGCTATCACAGTTCATGTTTGTATTTTTGTATCTGCACAAGCTCTATTCATGACATTATATTATTAAAAAAAGACAAGACAGCAGTGTTTTGATCAATTCCTCTAGGAACTAGATTTGATTAGGGAAATTAGAAAACATGAAATTCACCCCTTGTAAGAAATTGCCATGAATCTTATGAACCAAGTCAGCCATCAAAATAGAGCTTAAGTGGAATCTATGTGATGTTAGGCCTTGTGCTGGCCCTGTGCTTGGTGGGGAGGAGGGGGTGTGAATTTCACCATTATGCATAGATCCAG